AGACGACGACTGTGGGGGGAGAGCCTGCAACATCAGCTGCGAGGGGGGCTAGGGGGGACCTTACTGCTGCTCTGGCAACGGGCGGGGGGGGAGGGAGGGAAGAGAGGAGCCCCACTGCTCTGGCCACCCCGGGATCACAACGGTTGCTCCCGCTGCCACTGGGACTGCTGCTCAGGCAGTCCCCAGGGCCAGCCGCATCAGCCGCTGCTCGGGCGGTCCCGGAGCCAGCTGCCCAGGCCGTCAGAGCAACAGTTGGTATGGTTGGCTGTGAGGCCACCTGAGGGGCTGGCTGCAGAGCCACTCCAGCAGTGGCCACCGTAGCTGGCCCCAGGGCCGCCCGAGCAGCTGGCCACAGGTCCAGCTGCTCGGGTGGCCCTGGAGTCAGCCACACCGGCCGCTGCAGAAGTCACGGAGGTCACAGGAAGTCACGGAATCCGTGACTTCTGCGACCTCTGTAACAAACACAGAGCATTATTGATGATCCATGCTCCATGCAAACATCCAGCTAATTCTACCACACTTGGCTCTGCAGTGCTAACTACTTAGTATTAAAGTAAGCAGATATGACTTTGAATAGTTACTAAAATTTTTATCTCTGTTATAATACTACACCAATGTCAACATGTATAGTTACCCAAGCTAAAATAAAGGTATTCACATTACATGCTGCAAGATGAACTGACTGCTTCCAAGGATCAGGAGTGAGCGATTCCCTCACCACTCCAATTAGTGTACAACACTGGGCAACTGGCTAGGTGCATTATTTATGAGTTCACTTTCCTCTAATGCGTCAAATATTGGCCACCGCTGAAAGCAAGTAGTGGTCTGACTAAGTAAAGCAAACCTTATGTATATTATTTGCTTTTTTAGTTTACCTTCAATCATTTGCTCTTTAGTATTTAGTCTTTAAAATTTATTTTCCATGGTTATGGAACCTATTTTCTATTTATATTCAGAATCCACATTTTATGCAGCCTTTAAATCCACATTTTATGCAGCACTTAAATTGTAAAGTGCCTCAAGAGTTTTTGTGAAAGACACTACACAAATGTGTTATATTGTAATTACTATTAGCTGCTTAGGAGACTGCCCTATGCCTACTGAAGTTCCGGCAGGCTCCATTGGCAAGGCAACAAAAAAGCCCAAGTCTAGGCCCTTACAAATGGTGAGACCTGCCAATGACCTTCAACATAATCAGCAAGATAAGAGAAGTCCGTCTAGCAAAGACTCATGAATAGACAGGGCTTGGGTTGTACAGTAGTGGCCTCCAGAGGCAGAGCTGCCTTTGCCTGGAGTTAGATGGACCTATTTTCAGCGTAACAAATACTCACCCGCAAAATTGATTGTACTGTCTGCATGGGGTAGGTGATGGTGGTGGCAACTGCCTTAGCTACTGCACCAATGACGAATGCATCCAAAGAGGTAAGCTGTTCAACAGTGTAAGGAAAATATTACTTGCATGAAGAAACAGATCAGATGTTACAGTTTTATACCTATCACCATAATGTCTGAGTGCTTTCCACATAAAATCAATAGCAAAATCCCTAGTGGACTTCATGGAATTTCTGATACTTCTCCCTTTTCAGGGTCAAAACTATAAATAAACCCACACAGTTAGAGAGAGGATTTACAACAACCTCTTTCATATCTCATATCTCCATTACTGAAACCCAGTGGGAGGAGCCACATGACTGGAATGTTTTAAAGTCACTGGATACACCCTATTTAGCAAAAAGAGCAGGTAGAAGGGAGGGGGATGGCACTCTACATGAAAGATACCATTATGAGCTTTAAAGTTATTGACAATTGAGAGGAACAGGATCTGAACTGCTTATGGTTCAATGATCTGATAAATCACAAGATGAGGTACTGGTGGAGATCTGTTACAGGCCATTAAAGCAGATAAGGGAATAGGATGAGCAGATCCATAAACATCTATCTGCAATCATAGAATCATAGAAGATTAGGGTTGGAAGAGACCTCAGGAGGTCATCTAGTCCAATCCCCTGCTCAAAGCAGGACCAACACCAACTAAATCGTCCCAGCCAGGGCTTTGTCAAGCTGGGCCTTAATGTTTAGAAACACTGAGTTATCAAGGGTTATTTCCATCATCGAAACATATGTTAGAGTTCTCATGCTGCCATTAGTAAAGCATCCTTGAGTTCTAAAATTTATAGATGGTAACTTTCTAGCACAAAAAAACAGTGTGTCAAACATACAGAATTACCCCAAGTTGGTTGCACTATTAGACCTCAGTCTAAGCAATAAAGATGAACTGATCATTGACCTAAAAACTGATGATTGCTCAGATGCACGTGATCAAACACTAATTTCATTTGTTGTGTGCAAACAGAATGTAGTCCTGACCAGTAATATATACGTACTTGGTGCTTTAAAAATGAACAAATTGCTGGTGCTAAAAACAAACATGAGAAAAATTGAGTGGGAGAAAACATTTAAACATAAAAATAAAAGTGATAATGAAGAGTTAAAGAATGCTTTTTTACATGCCCAGGAAACCCACAAATCTGCAATCACATTGTGACATTCTATACTTTGTGGGAGCGTCCTGTAACCCCCATATTCCTCATTGATATATAATTGTAATCTTGCATATAAAGCATGCCATGTAAGATATCAGGGGAAAGGTTATGATCTGCTGGAAGCCATTGTTCTATCTAAATATGTATATCATCAATGCATACGAAATTATAAGAATTGTGTTATATGGTTTTCACTAAAATATGCTGTGGGTGTGGGAAGTGCCCAGATACTAGCTCAAAGGAGACAATGATGAGGGAAGAGGTAACCAACAGATGCTGAACAGATATCACCAGCCATTGTCCAGCAGAGGAGTTATAATTCAATGACTCACCCACAGGAGACACACCAGGGTATTGCTTCACCTTGTGACTCAGCAATGCCCATCAGACATGCCTGGACTTGTGTTCTCCAAGTACATGGACTAAGGGTATAAAACAGAACACAGGGGCCACATGCTTTGCCTTTCTCTTGCCCCCATCTATGCTGCAAGCAACAAAGACACTCAGAAGACTGGAAACTCCAACAGAAGAAACTGGCCCAGGTTTAAGGGACAAACCTGTATATTAAGGACTGCAATATCCAGCGGGGTCAAAAAAACTGCTTAATCTAGATGTTGCCCAGTCTAATAAGGTTAAGAGTTTAGACTGCGTGCTTATATTTTCTTTTCTTTTGGTAACTAACTCTGACTTTTTGCCCATCACTTAATATCACTTAAAATCTATCTTTTGTAGTCAATACATTTGTTTAGCTGTTTATCTTTACCCGTGAATTTGCCTGAAGTGTGTGGTAAATCTGCTCAGGTTTGCAAAGGCTAGTGTATATCCACTTTCCATTGATAAAGTGGTGAACCAATTAATAAATTTGCACTGCTCATCTTTAGCAGTGCAAGATGGTATATTCCTGAGGTACAAGGCTGGGAGCTGGGGGGATTTGGCTGGTGCCTTTCTTTGTGTGATTCATGAGTGGCTCTAGGAGCACTCATGTAATCTAGCTGGGTGTGGAGCTGCATATGCGGTTGTGCTGAGTGATAATGGTGCCCGGAGGCACTAGCAAAGCGTTTATCACTGTGAGTGACAGGCTGGAGAGTTAAGGGGGCACAGCGGTCCCATAGTTCCAGGCTGCATCCCGGGAATCCTGTTACACACATAAGAAGGCTTCTTGTGTGAAAAGAAATCCTAGTTAAAAGAGGAAATGGAAGTATCAATTAAAATAAAAAAGAATACATATAACATATGGAAAAATAGGAAAGTGGATAGCAATGAGTATAAATCAGCAGTTAGGAAATGCAACAGTTGACAAAGGAAAATAAAGGTATAAAAAAAATAAAAAAATTACTATGGCCAGTAGGATTAAGGACAATAAGGAATTCTTTAAATATATCAGGAACAAATGAAATCCTAACAATGGTATAGATCCAACAGTAGATAAGGATGGTAAAATTGTCAATAGCAATGCAGAAAAGGCAGAAATAGTCAATAAATATTTCTGTTCTGTATTTGGAATAAAGCAGCCTGACGTATTCATATCTTACAGAGATAAGGAAATACTTTCTATTCCATCAATACCTATGGCAAATATTAAAGCGCAACTATTAAAGTTAAGCATTTTAAAACTGTAAGGACCAGATAATTTGCATCCAGGGGTATTAAAAGAATTGGACCAGGGAGCACTCTGAACCACTGATGTTGATTGTTAATAAATCTTGGAATACTGGGGAAGCTCCAGAGAACTCAGAAAAAAGGAAATGTTCTGTCAATATTTAAAAAAGAGTAAATGTGATGACCCAGGTATAGGGTAGTTAGTCTGACATCACTCCCAGGGAAGGTTGATATGGACACGATCTGTAGATAATTTAAAAAAGGAAGCACAGTGAATGCCAATCAACAGGGTTTTATGGAAAATAGGTCTTGTCAAACAAATTTGGTACTGTTTTTGAATAACTTACAAGTTTGGTTGATAAAGATAATTGTGTTGACATAATATACTTGGACGTCTGTAAGGCACTGATTTAGTCCTGGATGACATTCTGATAAAAAATAAGATCTATACAAAAATCAATGTAGCCTATATTAAATAGGTCATAAAAAGTAATTGCAAATGGGGAATCCTCCTCCTCGGGGGATTTCTAGTGGGGCCTTGGTGGAATCTGTTCTTGGTTCAATGCTATTCAATATCTTTGTCAATGGTCTGGAAGGAAATATAAAATCAAGGCTGGTAAAATTTGCAATGACACAAAATTGGTGGAGCAGTAAATAATGATGGAAATAGGTGAGTCATGCAGATGAGTCTGGATTGCTTAGTAAGATGGGCTCGTTTGAACAACATGCATTTGGCTATATTAAAATGCAAGGTTGCAGTGTTGTAGTCATGTTGGTGCCAAGATATGAAATAGACAAAGTTGGTGAAATATTATCTTTTATTGGACCAATGTCTGTTGGTGAAACAGACAAGTTTTTGGGCTTCACATTTGATGTGCCAGGAACAACTACGTTGGTGAAACCATATAATCACTATGCTGTTGAATGAACTCATATAGAAACATGATAACAGCCAAAAAAAACCCCCTATCACCTATGGGCAAACACTTTTCACAAAGCGATCACTCTGTATCTAACCTATCAGTCCTCATCCTCAAAGGAAACCTGCATAACACCTTCAAAAGACAAGCACAGGAATTTAAATGTATAACTCTGCTAGACACTAAAAACTCATGGTTTCAGCAGAGACTAGTTTTATGGTTCATTTCAACAATTTGTAATCTATTAACTCTCCTCTGTTCTGTGACTGCAGAGGTGTTAATTGCCCACTTCGTTTTAAGTGGTTTCTTGCAACATGTGTTAACCTCTTATACTTCATCTGTCCCATCTTGTATTTATTTATGACACAGCTATCTATTTCAGACCTGAAGAAGAGCTCTGGGAAGCTTAAACATTTGTCTCTTTCACCAACAGAACTTAGTCCAATAAAAGATATCTTATCCACCTTGTCGCTCCTAAAATGCAAGGACAGATATCTAAGAACAACAAATGTAGGTTGCACTTACAAGATGCGAGACAGTATCCTGGAATGAAGTGACAGTGAAAAGGGCTTAGGTGTAATTGTAGATAACCAAATGAACATGAGCTCCCAGTGCAATGTTGTCACTAAGAGGGCAAATACAATCCTTGGATGCATAAGTAGGGGAATATCAAGTAGGAGTAGAAAGGTGGCATCATACACAGCATTGGTGAGACCATTCCTGGAATACTCTGTCCACTTCTGGTGTCCACACTTCAAAAAGGATGTTGAAAAATTGAAAAGGGTTCAGAAAAAAGCTACAAGAATGATTTGAGGTCTTGAATATATGCCTCATAGTAAGCTTTAAGAAGCTCAATATATTTAATTTATCCAAGAGAAGGGTATGACAAATATGGCAATTTCCAGTGATATCCTGGACAAACCATATTGAAAAAAGCTAAACCTTATTAAATTAAGTTTAAGTATCTTAGGAGTTCATTGTATTAATAATACAAATGTTTATGTAATGTTGTGGAATTGTATTAACATCTCTAGAGGGAGAGACATGACTAATGTAGACCCTAGAGCTTCAAAAGTCAGATAAGTGAACTTTTAAAATTAAGTGGGTTTCCCAGGAAATTTCTGGGGAAGATGAATACATAAGACAGAAGAATGACCATAAGTCAGACTAATGATCCATCTACCCCAGGATCCTGTCTCTCTCAGTGGCCAGTGCCAGATGCTTCTAGCAAGTTGGAAGTTTAGGGACACCTGGAGCATGGGGTTATACCCCTGATCATCTTGGCTAATAGCCATTGATGGACCTATCCTCCATGAATTTACTAATCCTTTTTTTAAACCCAATTATATTTTTGGTGTTCAAAAC